CCTGGACAGCTGAAACTATACAAGATGCTGGTTAGACACCAGCTGGAATACTGCAAACGGTTTTGGGCCCTTTATGTAATGAAAGATGTGCTGGCTTTGGACACAGTACATAGAAAGTTCATTCACCTAATACCATCTGTGGAGAGATTATCTTGTGAGGAGAGGATGAGTGTGTTGGAATATAGAAGAATGAGAAGTGACCTTATTGACAGATACAAGATTTTGATGGGACTTGATAAGGTAAATGTGGAAAGGTTTTTCCCTTTACAGGAGAGTCGAGGACTGGAGGTCATAATCTCAGAATGAGGGAATGCATATTTACAAAAGAAATGATGAGAAATTTCATCTCTCAAAGGTAGTGAATCTGTGGAATTATTTACCGTAGAGGACTGTAGAGTGTGAGTCATTCAGTATATTCAAGGCTGAGCTAAACAAATATTTAATTGGTAAAGGAATCAAAGGTTATGGCGAAAAGGCAAGAAAGTGGAATTAAGGATTATTGGATCAGCATGATCTCATTAAATGGTGGACTAGGCTTGATGGGCTGAATGAATCTCTCCATCCATGGTTTGCTTGTTTGCATGTGAAAATTCATGGGTGTTTCATCCGTGTTGCCAATGTAATACAATGGGTTCTTATATTTTTTTTAGCTGTATGATGATGTATCATTGGAAAGTTGGTAATTTTGGTACTGGTGGTGTTCTGTCAGAACCCTAGACATTCTTGACTCATTCTGATAGATGCTTCTAGTTCAGGCCAGTTGCTGGTACCTGTTTTCAGGGCGCATTAGGTCTTGGGCATCTTCTTGATGAAGAAGGATTCCTTCTTACATTATCACGCCAGATTTTCACCAATAACAAATTCCCTCAGCTATTTGACAAGTTAACAAATTTTAACTTGAAACAAGCTTTGTACTTGTTTCCCTTTATGAGAGGATTCACTTCTGTTTGGTGTTTGCCACCTGGATCTGTTCTGTGTGGGTGTCTTAAAATCCCACATACCATCTTGGCAATGTAGCCCATATTGACTGCTTGATTCCACTTGCCAACTTATACGGTGAGTAAGTATTTCTGAGGTAAAAAATTGAGGCTGACTCCTTATACAAGTTTAATATTTCTGAGCAGAAAAGGTGGGAGAATTTGACCTGCATGCCAAGTTTGGGCCTAAACTTTGTTTGGGGCTGAAGAACTGAAATTGGCTTAAATTGCTTGATTTTTGGTACATTTTTGGGTGCCTTTCAGTTAAGAGAAAGATAGGTAGAGCTGTTGGACCAGAGTTGACTTGGAACCAAACATATAAGCATCGAAGCATGTTAACTGGGGGAAACTGCAAAGCGTTAAAACAGTTAGAGTTGTAGCTACGTTATTCCCCAGTGCTTTCTCTTTTCTTTTAATATAGTCTACAACTGGTATAGAGAAAGATATTTTATATTACTTAACTGTATGGGACTGACCTCTGCAGCTCTGCTAGACTTCAGCTTGCACACGTACGACAGATGTACACAGAATCTGACAGATTCGAAGAGTGTAAATATCCCCTCAGGAATGCCGATTCTTCGGAGGTCGAAGCATTTACCACTTACCGCTGTTAGTTACAAACTGCAGCTGCAGCTGCAAGCATCAGCCTGCCAGTTTGCTTTCAAGTGACAGTGATGGATTGTAATGGTTTCTAAGACTAGCAGGGAAACTGGAGTCAGTGTGATACTGTATTGCATTCCCATTATTATTACATTCTGCCTGTACAACAAATACAGAATTAACAGGGTTGTGGCATTTAAATATTGATATAGAGCTCACCACTTAGTGAACAATACACTCAGCGGTGCATTTTACATGTTGTAACTAATACAATAAATGCCTGCAGTTGTTCATTCTGTTTTCAGCATTATTTATGTGTCCTCACAGCGTGGGCACATAGTTTATTGACTCTTTTGACTCCCTGTACCGTGCAGTGACAACACACGGGATTATGGGCTAGTTTGTGTTCTTTTGGTGTCACCCAATTCTCCTGCAGGTAAAAGGCAACACTGAAAGACTGGTTACTTTGGGTACTGAACTGATGGCAGCAGTGGTTCAAAGGATCGCTGTCAATCTGCTCAACCCAGCACCCCTGCCACAATGTTAGAAAGTGTATGCAGGGAGCAATACTGAAACGGTACTGTAGAAAATAGTCGTATACTTTTCTCTCTAGTTCCTTGATCCTCACAGACCTTTGACAATGTTACCATCGAGCAGGTTTTTTGGGGGTTGTGTTAGAGTGTCACAGGCACAGGCGTTAACCAAGTATTTTCAAAGCCTTCTCCCTTTTCAGAGGGAAAAGGACCTTCTGCAGTGGTCAGGCTCTGACTGAGGAAACCTTTTTGATTTCTGGAGAATCTGGCAATGTCTTGCTCTTAGAAAACGCAAGGACAGCTATATGCACTGTAGCAAATGGACTTTCAATGTGATACAATGCTTATGAATTCCGAAACTTTACTGTACTGGGATGTCCAGTTAAAAGATCATTCACTCTCATTTGCTGACAGCTATTACCACCTTCTTTTAAAAAAAAATGTACATTTCAACTTTCAACAATCCACATGTGAATACCGAGTCAATACCAGCTTAACCCCTTTTCAACTGACGACATTGACTTCTTATCTGAGTCTGGTTCCAACAGTCTGGATGCCCTCTGACAGTTTGTCCGAATTCACATTATTCGCAACTGATGCTTGGCAGCATCAGAAATGTGCACTTATACAGCTTATAAATGTGGATGAACATCCCAGTACCTGCACAGAGACATGAGAAATAAAGATATCAAATCAAAGATGGAGGGATTAGAGAATAAGCTGGAATCGAAGAAGACGGGTGGAAATGCAAATGGCATCCAGTGTATGAAACTGTCGTGTTATTTCCCAGTAAAGTAAGGTAAAATCACCTTAGTGACTGGGGACATAGGGCCATTCTCTCATTAGAGAGAGATGACTGGTGGTGGTTTAATGTGAGGGTTTATCATGCCTTGGGTGAGGAGTGAGGTTGAGAATACAGTGCCTTCATGGCAATCTCAGCTGGTATGGGAATTGAACCCACTCTGTTGGTACCATGGTACATAGCAAACAAGCCATCCAGCCAACTGAGCGAACGTATCCCATTTTCTAGTAGAGAGATCATGAATTGCATTGGTCACTGCTTCAGAGCACATTGCTTCTGATGGCTTAGTTAACAAAAATAGCATCATTACAGAAATAAATCATACAACAAGGCCCTAGATTTAATCCACAGACTTATTTCAATGAATAACTTCCAAACCAGCACAGCGCTAGGCTCATAAGACTGTTTTTGTGCTAACGTCATTGTGACCATAACCTTGCCGAGGATGTCCAATTTGTTCCTGTTCCGAATGGGTTATCCCCAAACTCTGAAGCTCATGGGTGACGAGGGTCTGAACTGTTTGTTGCAACTAAGTTAATATAAAAAGGATCCCTTCCATTATGGATATCTCTCTCCCAGACCCAAATGAACTTGTATTTTGGAAGGAGACAATTTAAGCAGCCTTTCTTGAATTAACAAATGGAGTTCAGTAATTACTAAACACAAGAAGAATTGGTAATATGACACACGTTCATGCAGCTTAGAAATAAGACGTGAGGCAAAAGGATAAATGTTAAACAGACAGGTGTTTGGATCAGTCTGTGAATTGTTCATGAACAGTGAACAGTGGAACATTACAGCCATTGCAGTGAATTAGTGTTGACATTGGCAGGTGAACAGCTTTGCGGATTGTTTGAGATCGTATAGTTCTGTTCATCTTTGACTATTATTGAATTCCATCGTTCATGGTTAGAGAGAGTCCTTTGTTATTCTGTTTTGTTTTTGACTGGTTAGTAGCACTTCAAGTGAGAAAGAGTCTTCACACAGCGGTAACTAGGCAATGGTTCTTCACCTATGGCTATCACAGCATGCTGTGATCGAACCCAGGCTGGTACACATGAGAGCGCTCAGTCCCACAAATCCACTCTAGTAGAGTTGAAACTGGCTTTCTAAACCCTGTCGTGGTGTGTTCTTCAAAGGGAAAACCCAAAACATGGGAAGATAATCTGCAGATGGTGGCTTGCTGTTGAGCAGGACTTATCAGCCCTTTTTATCTTTGGAGTCACCAGACATCACAGTATGATCTATTTGAAGTTTCTTTGGCACCATTAGATGTAACAATCCATCGGTCCCACACACAAGTTTTTTTACGCTTCCAGTTATTGTTTCTGTAGCAATTTTCTTGTTTAAAAAAACACATTTTGGAATTAAAGACTAAAAATGTCCACAGCACTCTATGGTTCTGACTCATGGTGATAACAATATAAACCCGTGGCTTTCAATCCTGATGGCTAAGAAATAGGCAATTTTGTCACTGAGTGAATACACAATCTGTCTCACATCCTTTTCATCTCAACTGAACAGTGGACTAATGGAAACTGTCTAGATTCAATATGAGGAATAGTGCACATGGAACCACAGCTCAATATAAGCCTGCATCTTCAGGCAATGAGTGGAGAAGTTGGAGAGAAATTGAAGGAAACAGAATGGATTTGCTGTCATTTGAAACACCTGATTTCAAAACAAGCCAATGAAATCAGAGGAATGTAGTTCAAGTACATTACAGAAAAATAATGAAGGTAAAGAAACCTAAAAGTGAAAACACAGTTAATGAATAAATTGCCTACAACAGAAGCAGAAATGGCTGAGAAATTCAGAAGGTCTGGCAGCATCTGTGGGGAGAAAGCAAAGTTAATGTTTTAAGTCCAGTGACTCTTCATCAGAATAAATTGCCTACTTCAGTTTCACATGAGAGTTGGGGAGTTGTGGGCTGCGGGATTTCCTCATTTATATTTTACACCAGGAAACACCGCTAGCATTTGCTTGTTATTGATGCTCAATACATGCTCAATATTGCATTTCATTAGATTTAATTTTGGCTTTCCTTCCTTTTCCCTCTCCTAATATGCTTCTCTTCCTCTTATGCAGGGATTGCAGTATGTAACATCCCAGCAGCAGCAGTGGAGGAGACAGCTGATTCCACCCTCTGTCATATTCTGAACTTATACCGGCGGAACACTTGGCTATACCAGGCACTGCGTGAGGGAACCCGGGTGCAGAGCGTGGAGCAGATCCGAGAAGTAGCATCAGGAGCAGCAAGGATCCGAGGGGAGACTCTGGGACTAATTGGTTTTGGTAAGCACTGTGTGATAGGACTGTGTTTCGAAGGTGAAGATAAAGCTGCTTTCTCCCTCTGATGAAGAGCTTGTTGACACAGGTTCATAACCTAAAATCTTTTACCATGATACAGAGGAACATCTAACTATTGCAAGTGAGTGTTCATTTGTTATTCATTATCATTGTGAAAATGAAGATATTGTTTAATCACTTTCAGAGCCAACATTCTTAATTGTTGTATTCAAATTCAGTGGATAGCATTTTCAGTTGAAGTAGCAAAGGATTTATCCAATCATACTGTTAGTTCTGCTTCATAAGAAAGTTCTAATAAATTAAAAGTGGCAGCCGTTCTTTGTTGTTTCTAACCCTGGTACCTCTTCCCATTGGATATGGGTTGGCAGGGAAACAACAAGGGATTAATAATGTAGCCAGGTTCCAAAGATATCATTGGAACTCAATATGCATATTTAAACAAGGAGCCCAGTAACTCTGGGCATTTGCCCCTGGTACTTTCAACTTACAAATCTAGCTGACAGCATTAGGGCAGGTCAGCAGGTAGTTCTCTGGCTGTATTTTAAACGCTCTGTTTTCAACTTCATACATTTGATTCTTGAGATGGGTATCGAACTTTATATTTACAAAATGATTCAGACCAGCTATTTTCATTGCTGTAACATTGCTCAATTATATACAACTGAATACATCTACAGCTCAAACTCTTATCCATGCTGTTGTTACCTCTAGACCTGACGATTACAACCCATTCTAGCTAATCTCCCACTTTCAGCCTTTTCTAAACTTGACTTCATCCAGGCTCTGCCTGTGTTTTAATCTCGTCTAGTCCCCTATTGCTCCCTTTCCTCACTGACCTTGCATTGACTCCAGGTCAAGCAACATCTGATTTTAAAATTTCCATCAATGTTTTCAAATCTATCCATGACCTCTGCCCCTCTATATCTTTGTAATCTCCTCCCACCATGCAACTCTCTGAGGTGTTTGCATTAATTTAGTTCTGGTGTGTTGTGCATTCTCAATTATAATTGCTCTACCATTGGTAGCTGTGCTATTCATTACTTTGGCCTTTCTGCCTCTCCATCTAGTTTTCCTCCTTAAGACATTTGAAGCATACCCCTTTAACCAAGTTTTTGCCATCTGACCTAATATCTCTGTGCGTCCTTGTTTTGTATTGCTCCAGTGAAGCACCTTGAGAAGTTTCATTAAACTAAAGGTGCACTGTAATTATGGGTGGTTGTTGTCCAATTCTGGGCAGTGATGAAGGTTTTAAAATTGACTTAACTTTATTAGATGCTGCACTCTATGATGTGTCCAACTCAGTGTCATTTCAATCAATGTAATTGATAGTTTTTTTTTATATTATTCATTCTTTCATGGGATGTAGATGGCAATGGGAAGACCAGCATTTGTTAGCAATCCCAAATTGCCCTGGAGATAGTGATGAGCCATCTTCTTGAATCAAGATAGTCGATTTAGTGAAGGTGGATCCACAGTGCTGCTGGAAACGGAGTTCCAGGATTTTTGGTCCAATGACAGTGAAATACATGATATAAATCCAGATGGACTGTGTGTGGCTTGGAATAGAATTTGCAGGAGATGGTGTTCCTGTGCATCTTCTGCCTTAATCCTTCTAGGCATAGAGCTTGCCAGTTTGGAAGATGCTATCAGAGCACTAACATAGTTTGAATATAAGGGGTCTCCTATATAAATTGGAGGGTCACAAGATTTTGGAACCATCTTTCCCAAAGAGTGGTGGAGGTGGGAATCAAAGGTTATTAAAGATAGGTGGGAATGTGAAGTTGAGGCCACATTCCAAAGTCCCTTGTTGAACGGTTAAACAGTCTAGGGGCACCAAATGCCTACTGCTGCTCTTAATTTGTATGTTCATATGTTTTTAGTAAATTGTATCTCTCAATTTGGTTGATAGTGGAGGATTCGGTGATCATAAAGCATTGAATACCAAGGGTGTTTCTCTATTGGTCATTGGCTGGAACTTGAATCATGTGAATATCACTTGCCACTTATCAATCCAAATCTGAATGCAGAGGCCTGCAGCAGCTGATTTATTAGCAGACTGACTTCAGTACTAATTAATTTTTTTTTCAGAGCAAATTTTGCTAAGAATGAAGATCAAAAGTCAAAATTAATACTGACTTCTGACAAATCTATTTTATATATGTTGCAGAAATGTTTCTGCTGATTGAAAGGTTGATAGTGCTGATCTAATAGAATTACAAAATTAAATGTTGTGGATTTATTTTAGTCTTTAAAATGTCCTATTTACTAGATTGAAGTTGAAATTGAATTTCAATTTGGGAATTGTTGCCAATGTGGGATCATGGAGAAGAGAGGAAAGAATAATGATTAAAGTGATTTAACTTCTACCTGTCACTCTCAGGGTTAGCTCCTGTCTAGAAATATACAACAGTTAATCATTGATGTGTGAAAATAATCCTCTCAGCCAGTACGACTCAGGATATCTTATAGGGTGGAATCCTATTGGAGCCTGAGTGACTTGGGCTATTACAAGGTTTCTGGCAGAATCCGTAAGTCCAGAAAGGCAGATCTTGATATCAAGAGCATCTTGCTCCATCTTTTATGTATTTGCCAAATGGCAAGGCAAGTTTCTCACTAGGCAGCAGTAGTTGCCAATTAAGAGGGATAATTGCTTGTCAGATGCCTTATTAACAGCCCAACTAATCTCATTAATATTCAGATTCCTATTTTAACAAACACACTAATGAAGATGAGATAGTAGGAACTGCAGATGCTGGAGAATCCGAGACAACAAGGTGCAGGGCTGGATGAACACAGCAGGCCAAGCAGCATCATAGGAGCAGAGAGGCTGACGTTTCGGGCCTAGACCCTTCATCAGAAAAGGGGGAGGGGAAGGGGGTTTTGAAATAAATAGGGAGAGAGTGGGAGGCGGATAGAAGAGGGATAGAGGAGAGGATAGGTGGAGAGGAAACAAACAGGTCGAAGAGGCGGGGATGGGGCCAGGAAAGGTGAGTGTAGGTAGGGAGTTAGGAAGGGGATAGGTCAGTCCAGGGAGGACGGACAGGTCAAGGGGGCGGGATGAGGTTAGT